TCAGCAGGAGCTGGGGAGACTTATGCCTGATTTAGAAACAGAAGAAGAAATCAAGCTTCTCAACCTCACGTTTAAATGCCATATTGCATTTGTGATTCACAGTGGTGGTATTTCTGAGGAAGTGTTATGGAAGTGTTAGATATCTTTTGATTCTCCAAATGGAATCTAATTTGAGAAAAACGCCTCAGTGCATCATATCACAGGGCAGGTTGTGCAAGTTGCAATGTCTAAGGCTAAGTAATGTATCCCGTGATGCATTTCTGAAGCTTTCCAGTTTTGAATGAGTATGTTTGAGCAACATGTCTTAAATGGTGGCATTATTTGAATCTCTCTGTGTCAGCTGGTTTGTCAGACATGGAAACGTCTAATGAAAGTAACTATATATAGCCTGTAAAAAGAAAGGGATTTTATACCATTCCCTGGCAAAAAATCTTCACCTTGTTGGAGTCATTTACAGGTTTAGCTTTGTGTCGTAATTTTACTTAAATCTTCAGCTGTTACTCCTGATTCAGACTGATGGAAATGAAATCAGAGTAATGCCTATTTTTTTTTTCTATATACTTCCTTAACATTTGTTATGGTTAGGTGGTGACAGTCTGCTAAGTGTTGTACAAGATCCAAAGGAAGCAGTACTTGTCTTTAAGAGCTCACACATTCAAATCCTCATCATGTTTACCCTTACTCATGTAAGAAATCTTTCAGAATTTCCTTATAGAAGATGAGAGTGCACTCATATAAAGGAGAGTTTCCCACTTGGCACTGGGATCTAGTAGTCCAAAATTAGTTTGTGGTAAAGTTTAATTACCCCTTTTTAGAATCTAGAAATATCTTATTCAAAACATACTGAGCAGAAATGTTGATAGTGCTTCAGATTTTCATGGAAGGTATGACATTTGAAATACATTAGGGGGAGGCATATTTTTGTTTAGGAATTGCTATCCTCTTTCAAAGAGAGAGAGAGAGGGAATAGGAGAGAATGAGAGAACCCGATGCCAATACTGTAGTATAAATCTGTGCTATTAATGGCTTTGGTGTACCAGTTTCATGGGAGTTATTTTGATAATCCAGTATTGTAGGAATCTGAAACAACCTCATTCCAGAGGCAGTGTTGTCAGATTTCTATTTCTGGTATTTTTCGTGGTCTTAGTGTTAACAGATGTGATGTTACTTAAAAGATAGGTGCAAACTTATGATAGAGTAGGACTGAAGTTTTTTACCGTTGGTGTTTGATACGATATGCTTTAGTGTTTTATTAATGGTTCAGGTGCAGAACGTGTGCTGGTCACAGCCATGAGTTCTAGGATGTAAATTTGTTTAATTAAGTATGCTCTGACTCTGGGATATTGCTGGAGCACTGTCAATTTTATGAAAAACAGATAAAAAAGACAAGGCATTCATTGTCAAGATTATTGCCTTTCTCTTCCTTCTTTTTCTTCTGTTTTTCTTTCAGTCTTTGTTTCCTCTCTCTGTTTCTTCTTATTCCGGCAGCCAAAGAAAAAAACCTTGAAAACATGAATCTAAAGTGACTTAGAAACAAAACCAGTAAGAACAATGAATTTTAAACTCTTACTTTCTTTTACCTTTGTGCTGGTCACAGTAATTTTATGGGCCCAATCTGGAAGGCCGAAGGAGCTTGGCAGCTGTCCCACATTTACAGATGAGCATGTTGGAAGCCCATTTGGGCTCAAAGTCATTCATTGGGTTTTTCTAAATGCTGCTAGTAATGCCTGGTTTTCTGAAGTGTGAAATTAAAAACCCTGGTTTCACTGTTTGCTTTATGCTTACTTAAATACCAGTGGAGATGCCTAACTCAATCGATTTAACTTTCTGGTTCTCATGAAATATACCAGGTTTGATGTGCTTAAATTGCAAATGTTGAAGCAGGTAAAATAAGGGGAAAAGTTTCTAAAAGCAAAGTAATTTACTTAAAAAATAAAAAAAAATGTTCTTGTGAGTGTGGAACTTTTAAAACTTCTAAAAAATTAGCTCCAAAGATGCCATTCTAATAGCCATATTTTGCTGTACTCATTCTTACTTGCAGTGTGTTTTTTCAGGTGTCGCACTTCTTATTGTATCACACTTGATGGATGGATGTTCAACATATAGTATTGTTGGCAGAAATCCCAGTTGAGACTGGTTTAACTGGTGTAGTGCATACTGACTCAGAGTATGATGACTATATTGTAATCGTGTCTGAATGCCAAAGGCAAGAATGTCCAAAATCAAGTATTTATAGCTATAGAATCAGAAAAATCCGTCAGGGAGAAGTGGTAGGGTTGTATCTTTGGGGGATTTTTGACAGCTTTAGCGAAGGCTCTGGGTTAGCGGGTGCTGCTGTCAGCCACAGACCCCATTATACAACATTGTTGGCGCCTGTTGGAGGTGAGGTCTGAAGATGAATTAATATACAAGCTACATGTTATTCATTCTCTAGCAGAGGTCACTGGTAAGAGGATACTGCATTACTGTGCTATTGGCAACATACATTTTAATTTGGAAATAAAATGGATGTGTGGCTCTTAGGAGGCTTTTCCTTAGTGTGTGTGGTTGTGAGGCCACCTCCCTCGTGTGCTGCTTGTTGACTTTTCCGGGTAGAGGATAATCACTAGATCATTTGTTCTGGAGGAGTACTGTCATTTAACGTGATTGTAATTAGGCAAGAACTAGGTTGACTCTGAGCCACCAAATTGCCCTAGTGTCTATTTTTTAACTTGGAGTGAGCACTTCTAGGCACCCTCTGGATTATCTCACATAGCTCTTTAGAGTTTAAATAGCAACCACATCTAGTTAAAGCAAATAATGGAAAAAGTTGGTGTTCCATCCACTCTTGTTACTGACAGTTACCAAGATCCAGGAAACAGGTATTTACACTTATATTTATTTGTCTGTGGTTTTGGCTTAACAGGGCACTAAGGCTGAAATGGCCTTTTTGTTAAACATACAGACTTTAGGATGCTTTTGCCGTTTTGCATCAGAATAACTCAAGCCGTCTCATCCTGAATGTGGGGGGTGTTGTTGTTTTAGTTGTTGTTTTTTTCTTGTTCTCTTGTTTACTGTCTCACACAGGGCATGTGGCTTCGCGATTCCTAATCCTAATTCTCCTGCTGACTGGTGGTAGAGTACTGAATAAGTTGCTTTATAGATCTGTGCTTCAGTTTGTTTTCAAAGCATTCTATGGTGGTGATATGAGTTAAGTGATTTTAGCTGTTAATCTGCACTGAGATCCTGGATTTTAAAGAACTATATATACTTCATAATGACAAAACAAAAGGATTGTCAGCTGGTTGTTTTGATTTCATGAGTTAAAGATGTACTTTAGCTTGTTCAAGTTTGTAGACTCTGGGCTATTCACTGCTAATCTTGTTTCTTCACTGTATTGATACTGGGTCATCAGTGATTGCAAACAGGTGGAAATGTTATATAAGCAAGGCTATGAGACTTGAAACTGTTCATCTGTTTGGGTGGCTATATATAAAATTTCTTTAAAATTATCAGTTCATTGAGGTGGCAAATAAGAAAAAAAGGTTTACCAGTCTGAAAATGGACTTTTCATCAGACACGTTCGGATAGGCAACGTGTGGTATTTCCACGTATATGTAAGCGCAGTAGCTCGGTAGGCACTGCTGGCCATGATCTGTCCTCATGTGTCTTTGAGCAGCCTCCCTGGGCTCAGGCAGTGGCATGTGTGTAGTGGAGGGCAGCATGTGGCTCCCTGTGTTTGTTTTGCTTGAGTGCTTTAGCTATTGGAGGAGGGAGAGGGAGTGTTAAGTCGGCAGAATGGGTGAGCTTATGAGAAAGCACAACACTTGCCAAATTAATAATAAAGAAATTACACTGAAAATGTCCCATGATCCCTAGCTTTAATAGTTTCATGGAGCAGACAAGTGTTATTTTGGGATGGAATCCATATGTGAGCTTCTTGGCACTTTGCTGTTGCCTGGGATGAAAACCCAAACAATGGAAACCGAAATGGCCAAGGCTATCTCTTATCCATCTGATTACTGCTGAATTTCAGAGGGAAGTGCTCATAGTTGTGTTTCTGGATACAGAATCAGCCTCATCAGTTACAGTCATTACCGGATTTTCCTGTGTTATGTCACTATAATTGTGCAAGGACAGTTAGTCTTGTGAAATGGCACTATGTTGGAAATGTTATTAG